TTTAAATTACTGATCATTACAATATGTACCGTACTATTTTAAAATAAATAAATATATATATATATTGCTCTTTCCGCCCTGTTGGCACTGAGAAGGTCTTTTATCCATACCCACTGTGGGTTCAGGCAGGCCACAATGGAGCCCAATATTTTCGGGCCAGATCGTCCCTGAAAATGTTAGAAGTTTTTTTCAAATCTCCACAGCGCTACGTAGACTGCCCTTTAACCGCTTCCTCCATACGACTGCCACGCTTCCAATAAAAAAAAATCAATGTTAGATTAAAATTATAATATGCCGATTTAATTTTAAAAAGATAAGAAATCTCAAAAATGTATGAAAAAAATCTAAAAAGTATACTGATTTTTAGCTGTCAGATTTCAATATTATCATGAAAAAAATCAAACTATCATATACAGTACTATATACATACGCTTTTATCAGCAAGAATAAGCAAAGATATTAAAAAATTATATAAAAATCATATTTTTTTAAAAATATTTTCCAGTCAATTTTAAAATTTTTATTTTTGTGAGAAAATCTAAAAAACATAACCACGAAATATGAGTCGGCAGATCGAAAAAAGTAAGTCGGGACTTTCACTTACACTATTTTCTTTCTGCTGATTCATATCCTTTTAGAATATAAGTAAAATAGGGATGACTTGTTCATTTGAACGAATTAATTCACGATATAACGTTTGACCGAAAACTAATATTTACGATAGACGCATTTCAGTTCATTAATTCGACATTTACAATTGACAACTTTTGTTCATTAATTATTTATATAAAATCTTTCAAGATTGATTTTTAACTCGTAAGCAGAAGACATCTCACTTGTCAGGTGTAGATAAAATTCCTAAGTGAGAGCGCACTATGAGCGCTCTCGAAGGCCCTGTGTATAATGCAATACAGACTACTTTTATAAGTCTATTGTACTGTATGGGACTTGGGATAAAGCGAGTCCCTACGCCAATAAGATGTTTTTGTTATTAATAAAAAAAAAACATTCTTTTTTGTTGGAAAAAATAACATTAATTTGTAAGGGTATGAACCAGTACGCACCCTAAGTTTTCTCCAAACCCGGGAAAAATTCCCAGCTCCCCTCCGAGAGAAAGGGCAGCTGAACCCTGACTGTTTTGGAATCTTTCTGTAGGAAGTGTCATTCACTTCTATATCGCCATCAATACCATAATTTATTAGAAAACGTCACAATTTAAATTATAATTTTTTAAAATCTAGTGTGTTGAAAGCCGAATCATAGCAACTTCATAGAAATTTGCCTTCCGGATATGTCGAACCTATTCTTCACTATTGGCCGACCTCATTGTAGGCTTGGCCAAACCCATAATGATTTTGATTTAAAATGCCCTCTTGGTACCCAAAGGGCAGAGTAAAAAATAGAAAAAAAAAAAGTTGGAACAAGATGCTGCTACGGTATACGCTAGAAACTTGTTTACTTCGTAGAGACTGTCAGATAAGTCTGGAAAATCACATGATAGTAGATGTTGGTAAATTTACGATGAACAGAAATGATGAATTGAACTTGAATAGTTCAGTTTATCAACATTAGGTCATTTTTCCGCATCCTTCTCAAAACCTACATCAACCAGACGGCCGAGTAGCCGTACGATTAAGGGCCCGTCCTTCAACTCACGGCTGAGCCAAAGTGGAGATAAAATTATAATACTGGCGATTGCAAGTGGCGATAAAAATCCGCTTGTTTCGACATTCAGCGTAAAATTGAATCACAAATCGCGAAAAACAGCAAATTGTCGAGCCTCTGTACAAAGGGGTCTCCCATTGTATAGAGTATACACACTTAGAGTGCAGGGCCGAATGCAATAGGTGCGAGGCCCGATTGAATTTTTTTGCGAGGCCCCTCAAACTTTAAATAACTAAATTAATTAACGGTTAATTTACATATTGAAATATAGATGTTAAATATTTATTTAAAACAAAATCCAAAATCTAATTATAAAAATCAAAAGTCATGAACCATAAGGTAGACAAATTTCTACATTAAAAAACCTGTACCAAATATAAATACAACTACATTTTATTGAATATAAACATATATAGATAGGTTTTAGTATTTCTATATTTTTAAATGAATATAGGCCTAACTACATAAATTTTTGCCATAAAAAATCTTCTAATGTGTTGATGATTGAATATAACTGAATTTTATTGAATATAAACCTATAAAGAGATATTTTATATGTTCCGAAGTTTTTTTCTGTAAAATCTTCTAAATGGTATCAAAATCCAACTGGCTTGCTTCTTGACTCTCAATCGACATGATCGCTAAACTGTTTAATCTGTTCTGTAATTTGAAACTATTTTTAAATATAAAATTTTGATGTCCTGCGAGGCCCCTTCAAGCGCGGGGCCCGATTGGCGTAAACCACTCCAATCGCCTCAAATCCGGCTCTGCTAGGGTGCACATACTTTTTGAATCAAACTGATCCAAGATTACTCTGATCATTCAATCCTGTATACAAACGAACTGTAGAGATCTGATCAATCTCTATCGTATACAAACGCCATCTAAACTCAACTGGATCGTGACAAACTGATCCGAATCCAGGGTAGGATCGTTTGGATCGGATAAAAAAGATTAAAGATGTCGACCACCACGATTAAAGTCAAGCTTAAATATATTTCTTTGCTGAAATAAATATTTAGAAACACTTTTGCGAGATTGTACGGGGAGAATGAATGGCGTGCACTCTTCCATTTTGACATTTTATGAGCAAATTCACAGTGTAAATGCGATTCGATCTTAATTGTATACTTTCTGCCAACTTAACACACTTGACAGAAGCGATCTGTATCGCGTGATAAAGACTGATCCGATCTTAGAGATCAATCTATAATGAAACGAAAAGAATATGCACCTCTTATACATGAAACGAAAAGTATATGCACCTCTAGCGTTTCATGACGTCATGTAGCAAGTTCCAGAAGAAAAGTAGGAAGTGACGTTGAGAACGAAATGCAGTTTTTTGCAATGCCCCCACCGTTTCCAGATTGGGAATTTTTTCCATTGGCAAAAAATTTGAGGACATTTTTGAGACGACTTTTTTCACTTTAATCGTTTTTCAGTAGACTAAACAAATATTTTGACGTGACAGAACCTGTGAAATACTGTTTAAACATTGTGATCAAATGTGTTATTTGGAATTATTCATTAAAAAAATTATTCAAAAATGATTCTATTGCTAACAAGGGGAGGGCCAGACGTTAGGGTCTCCGACTCTAACGAAACTTAGTGAGCACGTAGCCTTAAACACAAGCATATCCTTGTCCAAATAATAGGATCCGTAGCTTATGTGAGCTGCACACTCCATATTAACCATTCGACAAAGACAAAGAGAAATAATAGGACCCACTTCTCAAGCGTTTCCAAAAATTGGGCCTCTGAAAATTTAGTGTTTAGCTTATAAGTCTCCACATTACATGGAAGACATAAAGCTGCAGATTTCATTTAGCATTGCCGAAAACTTTGTGATTTTTTCAAGTTTTAATTATTGTTTTATTAATTAAATCTATTGGACTTTTCTTACTCTTACTTTTCCATTACGTCAAAAAGACGACGGCATTGTGCATCGGATTACAATTACAACTGGCGTCCCGTTAACAGAAAAGTACCAATAAATTAAAAGAATTATAAATACATACATACCCTCATGCTCATAATCCAAAAAGCTGCAGATTTCATTTAGCATTGCCGAAAACTTTGTGATTTTTTCAAGTTTTAATTATTGTTTTATTAATTAAATCTATTGGACTTTTCTTACTCTTACTTTTCCATTACGTCAAAAAGACGACGGCATTGTGCATCGGATTACAATTACAACTGGCGTCCCATTAACAGAAAAGTACCAATAAATTAAAAGAATAAGCTTTAATTAGAATAAATGTAAAAAAAAAACTGAAAAAAGGATGACCGGATGATAAACCGAAATCTGGATACGTTACGTGCCACTTTGGAGACGCCTGCCATAGGTTCGCCACCCTGGTCTACATCACTCTCTATTCTTTACTAAAACAGGGAAACTCATTTAGCCAACGAAAATAACTTGAAAGTCCGTTTTACTACCGATATTCTTTTTAAATTTTAACTTTAGAAATGATTTCTAAAATTATAAAATGGCATATGTGAGAACATACAATCACTTTCTGGTGTTAGATTAACCTATTTCTTATTGTAAACACAGATTTTACAATTTTTTAATGAGAAAAGTCAAATTTTTTGTTAGTGTGAATCCATGTGATAGGCAAGAATAGGGAATTTTTTAGTTTACATACAAATTGAGAAACAAATTAGTTTATTTCATAAATAATAAAAATATTTCGAGTTTTTTTTCACCAGCGTGTTGTTAACTCTATTGAAGCATCAATGTTCAGGTTCTTTGTGACTAATTGCTTACTGGTACACGTTGGAATTTTCTAGATCAATTTTAAAAAATTATTCAATCTCTTTCATTGAAATTAAGAGTATACTTTTCATTTTTCATGCCAGTGTTATCACTTGCACCTAAAATTCAATTGAATTTCCATATTCTTAAGTTTTATAACATTTTACAGCTCAAATGATAAATTTGTGTTTAATATATTACAACATTATTTGCTCTTTTCAACAATTATATTTGATTACGAATGTTATATTGATCTATATCTATTGTCATGTAAATAATCTTTAAGATTTAGAAACTTTATTAAAAATAATTTATTTTCATGAAAATGCCCAAATTACACTATTTGGTATGCTGTATCATTATATGCCCAGGAAGAAATTATACAAATTGAAAAACTGCCAACAAAGCAAATAAATGAAAACAACAATACCTACTTCAAATTTTGATGTTGAAATTTCTTCTATATGAGTTGCTGTTTTCGCATAATACATGTAAAATTCTGAATTAAAACAATATTCAATGTATATATACTTCTGTAAAATTAAAAAAAAGGAACATAGGAGTAAAACATGTAATAAACAAACAGACAAATCTTACAAATATCCTTTTTTTTATATTGCTAAAAATATAAATTTTGTTAATTCTCACTCACAATCATTTCACTTTTTTTTTTTTTTGATAAAATTGAGAACAACAAATAATAAATAGTATTCAAACAATCAAGATAAGATATATATATATTATAGACAATTACATAAAACTAGTCAAGTTTCTTACCATTTCTTTAAACAGAAATGTCAACAAGAAAACAAAGATAAAATTTCACTTTTGATACAAAAATCATATAACTTTATTTATCCCATAAATGCATTTAAATACTTAACACATCATATCAAATTACATAATTTTATCTGATATATTTCATCTCTCATAAATCCATTTAAACTTACAGAATATAATATATATATATATATTTTTTTTTGTTTTTTCAAAGTCAATAATGCATAATAATATACATCTATATTTACAAATCTCATGATGCACCTATTACATGGTAAAGGTTAAGAGAGGCAATATGTTAAAATATTTTTCTCTATGATTATAGATTTGTTGCAATATTAATAAAATTAAGTACATTGTAATTGATAATCAATAGTTTATAAATATTGTTTATTCTCTAAACAATAATTGAATGCCGACATTTCTAATTCGATATTATGCTACATTCGTGTAATATTGAATTAGAAATGTCGAAAATCTATTATGATGTAATGCTTATATTTATGTACATGTATGGGGTTATGTCGTAAATCAAGTTGATATATCTGCCAAATGCTAAAGAATTATCAAGTAGATATATATTATACCCATACATAAAATAAATATACCCAAAATTAATGATTCGTAAGAGTAAAATGCATTTGACTTGTTTCTTAAGATCACTGATGTATCTTATTACATAAAATAATTAAATTACAATTAAAATAGTTACTTTTAAATGTCACTACAATCATCATTAAGTAAATAAAATTTACAGTAGATACTTTAATTATAGTGCAATATTTCTTACTTTTATAATAACAGTTATGCTATTGGTATTATCGATCCAAATTACATAATTGAATAATTAATAATATTTGTAAATAAGTAATATTTTCTAAACTGCCATTAACATTTGATGAAGGATAAGTAAATTTTATTTCTCTCTTTATTCAATACAAAGTAAATTAGGCTGTAATCTCAATTAATGGAAAAATAATAAGAAATTAAGATGAAGTAACAAACTTAATAACTTCTTTAAAATGCATTAGCAATAAATATTTCTAATAATGCTTTACAAATTCTTGCTTTCTTTTAATTTCTTTGACTGATTTTTTCCATTGAGCTTGAATTGGATAATTCAGGAATTGAGCAATAACTTTTCTTAATACCTTCATCATTCTTGTATCTACAAATTTTCATTTAGTAAGCTGAAACATTTAATCTTAAAATATAATTATGTTTGCTCTATACTTTTAGTATCAACTGACATATCACAGATTATCCATCAAATCACAAATTATGAATTAAAATATATTTATATCAAATAATTCTTTTACATATGGCAGATGCATTATAATGATTTAGGATATGATTAGTATAATTGTTTTGATGATTTATAAAATTATCACAAATTTTAATAGACCTTATTGCAATTCATAGCAATTGACTTTTACAGAAATCATTTACGGTTCACTTTTCTTTTTGATCGAGCACCTTTGCTGGAATCTACATCAGAATCTATGTTTAAGGAACTTGTATTAGATGGAATGGATATATTTCTGTCTCTTTCATTCAGTGTCAACTGAGAGAAGAAATTTGGTGGTCCTGATGGCTGTGGATTAGATGATGTACTTTGTGCATGTGCAATAAGATTGTATAACTGATTATATTTGTCTTTAACTAATCGCCTGTATGAAAGCATTTGTTCCTGTTCTGCCTGCAGACTTGCTTTTTCTTCTAACAAACTTTGAAGTTCTTCTTGCAAATTCATAATCTGACCAATTTTCCTTTTCCGACAATTTTGTGCAGCAACCTATAAAAAGAAAACTTATGTTAACAAATTTAAAAAGGGTTATTTACTATTAAACATAATAAATTAATTAATCTAAAAATGAAAAGCACCTTATTTTTTCCTCTCCTCCTGATATCTTTAATCAATGCTAATTGTTCTTCTTTGAGTTCATATTTAGATAATCTTTCATTGAATTCGTCAATTGGTAAGTGAATAATATCTTCATTTGAAATAGGAATTTTAAGCATTCTGGCTCTTCTCTCATCCCTTGATGCTTCATCTGAATAATCTTTATCTCTAATAACAGGTTTCTGTTTTGTGCACATTGCTTCAGATGGTAAATTATATGTGTGATTATGACGAATACTTTCTTCAAAATTTTTAAATGTACCAATATTTTGATAATGGAAATATTTATCAAACTGTTCATTAACAATATTCTCAGACATTCCAGAATTAACGTGAGTATTGTGTTTTTCAGGAGAATCAGGTTTTCTATCATCAGTATCTCTCTTATTCTCATGTTTTCCGTAATTACAATCATCATTTTCACCCTAAATAAAAATTAATAGTTTATAAATTCTATCAACAAAATATCAGTTATTAATAAATGTTATAAATTAAATACCTTTTCATTAAAATTTAATGATTTCTTCCCAAAATACTTATATTTCTTTTGAGCTATAGGTGGATGTCTACTGGAAGAACTATCTTTTGAACATGATCGAAATGAAAATGTTTCTGCTTTAAAAGTGTCATTGTAAACAGAAGACATATCAGATGATGAATCATGAAATTCCTATAAACATAAAATTTAAATTCAAAATGCATAACTATTACTTTATTAAACAGATAAAATAAAAACATTTTGGACTAAAAATATAACCTGCTATATTTAAAGTTATTTTACCTGCTTTTGTTTTTGCCAAAAACAAGGAAAACAAGACAGTACAATCCATTTATTGTAATCACAATTATCATCATGTCACCCAATATCAGGATTAGCAAGTCCAAAAATAACTGATGTAAGTTAAAATATACAGCTGTCCCTCGATAGTCTGACGTTTTGTAATCCGACACGCTCAGTAGTCCGACGCACTCCCGTCAAGGTAACCGTTCCCGTTACGTGTTTGCTTGCACAGAAGCATGTCGCGACGTGAATCTCCCCACCCAATTCTTACACGATGACACACATTTCGTGTGTTTTCCGTGAGCAGTTCTGTTCGAACAGTTGGAGTAGGGAACATTGTAGGCTACTGCTAGCAAAACAATGCCAAATATGTAATTACTTTCGGTAATCCGACACTCCTTTGGTCCTATACCTGTCGGATTATCAAGGGACAGCTGTATTTATAAAACTTTGCTTATGTTAATCAGAGTTTTGGTTTTAGTTTTTATCTCCAAGTAAATAATCATTTTAAGTTGTTTTTTCCCACTATCAGCTTCAACATGTAGCTGATAATGTGAAATTGTTATCAGTCTTCAGTTATTATTGGTTTAACCAATGTTTTAAACATTAAATGTTTAAAAATTTTAATAGTTATTTACTTGCAGTACAGTGATTTAGATTCTTGCATTTTTTACTTGAATCATATGCTTGCTTTTATTAAAAATGCAAAAATAAATAAATAAAATAATAATGATTAACAAACCTTCCAAGTTATAAATGTTTTAATGGTTTTATCATATTCTTTACATATCAGAGTCAATAAAACTATAATTTCCATTAACTAGTTTAATTTATTTACTTGCTTAATGATATTGATTTATCATCATCATCAATAATAGACGTCCCAAAGTGATTACATCAAACAAATTCTACTATAATTCTTTTTAATACAAAACTGGGCTGTATTTTAAATAGCTTTACCATGTAAAAAGCAAATAAGTGCACTAATACCCAATAAAGTGCTAATTTATAAGTAAACAGATATGAATTAGATGCAAAATTAGTTTTTACATTTGATTGTTTATGTCAGGATTGTCCAGTAAATATCAAGCTAATTCTATTACTTTACAAGTATAATCATAAAAAATAAATTAAAACATTATTTTTCAACAGACTTTCGCTACTTCAAGGCATTTTTTCTTATCGGTTTAGCATCTGTATTCAGGCAGGACAGAATTCTTTTGGTTGACCCTGAAACATTTGAAGAACTGATTGACCAACTTATTATCTGCAAACTTTTTTATTGAGATATTCTTTCAGGAAATCAAATAAATTTTAATCAGGACACATCTGGATTATAGGAAAGATGAGGCAACACTTTCATTTCAACAAAAAACTATATTATTTGCTTATGAGGTCTTGCATTATCCTGAAATATTTTTGTTTGACACTCCTAATCTTTCCCTGTGCATAGTTCTTTGAACATTGCCAAATAATAATTCAAAATCATAATCATAGGCTGCATTGAAAGTCTTCTATTTCTTCAGGAAATCCCCATGCACACCATCACTATAAATCTAAACAACCAACACTATCACTTTACTGTCAGAGAGATGAGTGTATAACTTCTTGCAAAACAATTTTACAATTCAAAATACAGATGTTTCAGTACACTACTGTCTCTGAATACTGCAAAGATTTTCCAAACTGATAGGACTTTCTTTTACAAAAATGAATCAATTTGCTATTCCTTGTGTTAAATGTTCTGGAATAATCTTTAACAACAAGATGGAAAAGTGAGCCAGAGAAAGTTCACACTTCATCCATTTAATTAATTAATTAATCTATGTTGCTATTTATTTGAAATAAAATCAGTTCAGATATTTACTGTACAACCTACATATTTATAGTAAATTATTAAAGCTTTACATGACTATTATACTAACATAAATCATTCAAAATATTAATCAGAATAAATTTTTTTAAGCACTGAACATTAAAGAAAATTGATTATTATAAAATAATTAATACACTTTTTAAAAATAAAGTAAATAAACTTAAAACATACACCATCAGAAGAACTTTTATCAGAATCCATAGATGAAACAGCAGAATCACTTGTTTCTGCAAAATCTTCGATTTGTTTAATTATTGGCATGTCACAATCATCTGTAAAAGATAATTTTTATAAGATATCTAGAAAAAAATATTTTGAATTCTTTCAATTATTTATTTCTAATACTTTATTAATAGTCTTCTGTTAACAAGAATATTAGTTTTAACAAGCTTTCCAAAAATGAATAATTTTTAGAAGCTATCATAATTTTAAAATATTTCCATATTTATGTTTAAATTTACGATGTTAATATATGTTTCATTTTGATATAAAAATATAGAAAATAAAAATCATTAAAACAAATAAATATTTTTTTGTTTCCTATATTTTAAGTATTAAAACTGAAACTAAGTTTCAAAAATTTGTCATTAGAAAAATATTCTTACAATATTGACAATTAAAGCATTAATTGTCAATATATTAAAATTCTCTAACAATATTAATCAAGAGTGCTGATGACCAGATGGCCAAGCGATTAAGCAACAGTCTACTGCTCTGGGGAACTCAGAATCGAATCTGAATGAGTTGAAAAACCCCAGGTTATTTTTTCATGGGTATCTTAGATGCACTAGGTCCCATCCCTCACCACCCAGCTGCTCATCATGACCTGACCAAACATATAATGGCTTGATAAAAACACCATTGTAGTGTCCTCAGGACAGAAAGAGTTAAGAATAAAGATAAAAAAAATTCAAATTTCCTCATATCATGTGATTTTAATTATACAAATATATTGAATGTTTATAAAATTTAAAAAGTATCAAAAACTCAAAACTCAATTTTCACAATAAAAAAATACATAATTTCATTAATTTTATTAAAGAATATATGAGTGAAGTCAAATTGAAAATTGTAAATCTAAAAATCAAATAATTTTCACCTTCCTGAATATGTAAATGCATAAAAGCAATTATTCAATATTGATATACATTTTAATAAAAATAAATTTACATCAACGAGCTAAATATAGTTAAGACTAAACTGCCTTCATATATTAAAAAAAAAAATTCATGGATAATACATGTTTGTTAACAAAAGTATAATTTTATAATACTTAAACAATACCTTCTTCACATGACATATCCATTAATTGAAGATCCTCATCAAGTACAAAGTTTTCCAAAAATTCTGGAATGCTGCTGTTGTTAGGACAAAAGAGTTCAGGAAAACTTCCATTATATGTAATATTCATCATACTTTCAGCCATAGGATCACTATGATTAGATAATGCACTAGATGATGATACAGCACTGTCTTGAATTATATTTCTCTCTAAAATTTAAAATATACAGATTTAATAAGAAATTAAATTTTAAACTAAAAATTAAACTTATAAAACTAGATATAATAATTAAATTTTAATTATTATTTACAAATTGAAAAAACAAAAAATTATTACTGCCAGAGATAATCTTATTAAAATAATACTAAATTGAACACACGTGTCCAAAACATAAAGATGAATGACATTTATACATGAATAAAGAGAATAGTAGATGAATACATGCAAATAAGGCAAGAACTGTATTATTCAACGTCACACACAGGATAATACACAACTTGCAGGATTTTACAAATCAAAGCAATAAAAGTAAGTCTGGTAAAAAAAAAAAAAAAAAATACATACTACAGTTGGACATGTGTAAAAAATGGGTGGAAAGTGCTTATCAATATCTAGGCAAAGAGAATTGTCAGTATGGAATATGCATTCACTATCTGCTTCATTCATACATCTATGCAAATTGACATCAATTGGCTTGGTGATTTTTTCTACCTATCACTACTACTAATTGTGTTCATCTTTAAGTTTTGGATATGTGTATATTTAACCACTCAGCAGTGACTGATGAATATATCCGTCAAGGGCAATCGTGTGGCACTGGTGAACGATGGCTATATCCACAAAAGAATTTTACAAATATTGCCAAAAACTACTGCGAAAAAAAATTTCACATAAAAAAGGAATTATGTAACAATAAATAAAGACTTTTCTTTACTAGACATAACTGTTTACAAAATCTTTTTCCAAAACAGTAATGAGAAAAATGCACGGGAAAATACTTAAAAAATTTCCCACGTTTATTGTCCCCTATATTGGGATAGCACCATACCTGACTAACCCACTGCAGAAAGGTTAAAATCTGTTGAGATTTAATGCTAACACACTTTTTTAATGTAAGCATATGAAAAGATTTTCAATTTGTAAATTCTTCAAAAAAGTATAGCTTACAAAACTATTTATTTGTATTTCAATTCTTATTTGGTGCAGAATAATGAATATTTTGAATTGTTTAGTTAATATCAGTTACATATTAAAAGTGTCAACAAACATTATGATGAATCATTCAAGAAATGAAAACAAAATTATTAATTTAACATTTTGTAAGTGAAAAAATGTCTCTAATAAGAATAAATTTGTTTTATTAAAAACAAATTTATTCTTATTAGAGACATTTTTTCACTTACATTATATTTTACATTATATAAGAATTATATTTTTCCATATTAATGGAAAAATATAATTCTTTATATAAAGTGAACTATTTTAGTAACTGACAGTTATTAGTTAAAATTTAAATCTTTTTTTTTTTGTTTTTTATTAATATCAAAATTTATACCTGTTTCTTGAAAAGAATAAGAATAAGATCCCAATGTTGCATTTTGAAATAGGACATTTGGAAACAAACTGCTAAAGTTTGAATTCACAGTAGAAATATTAGATAGCATTCTATTATGCTCTGGAATATTTATATTATTCCTCATGTGTTCCGAAAACTGGTTTTGATTATTAGAAGTGTTTGATGAAAATGCCAAGCATGATGTAAAGTTTTGCCAAGTTTCATCAGTAACTGGAAGACAACCTTCATTAATCTAAAAAATAATAAAGAAAATAAATAAATTATATATAGAAAAATAGGAATACAGTATAAAATATACCTAATATTCTATATTTTTTCATATTATGTAATATGCATATTACTTCAAAAAATTATTGGTATCATGAGTAATAAATCACTAGAAAACTTAACATCCAACCAACACAAAGAATTACCAAATGGTCTGTCAGATTGTATTGGACTACATTACGCTTACATTTACTAATTAGATACAAAGTAATTTTGCCTAGTTTGGTATTAATCAAGAATTGGGTTATTTGATGTTTATGTTTGCAAAGAATCTCAACTAGAACTTGAAAAGCATATAAAAAAATGTAAACAAGTTTAAAATTTATTGGTATAGCTGAACTACCTTTAGTTAGATTTTAAATGGATTCTATTTTGTATGTTGTTTTCGAAAACGTTTTTTGTGAATATATTGGACTTCAAACTCACATTTGAGTTATAAATAAACACTTGGCTTTATTTCCATCATTTTAGTTGATACGTGACAGCAGCACGTTTCGGGCATAAAACTCCTCATCAGTCAACTTGTATTTTTTCGATGGTATTAATCCAATGGGCTGGACACATTATTCTTTGGATGGATGTCGCCATTTCTATAATTGAAATTTTCTATGTTGTTTTCTATTTAGTAACCTATTTCAACTTTTTATAACCCTTCAAGCAGCCATGTAAAAAAATAATGAGAATAGTTGTGTGGCATATGTAAAAGGCCAATTTCTTTTAACTAAAAATTACAAAAAACTATAATTGCATAAAAAAAAACATGAATATAAATTTCATTTCCATCATTTCTGATACTTCTACCAATATAAAACACAGATTTATACAGGAAATCCTCATTAGTTTGAAATTCAAGGGACGAAACAATTGCAACTTTAAATTATCAAGTTTCAAATTATCCAAGATTTACATACTTCTGTACAATATGCCAAATGTCATCTAACTGATGTAAAATTCCTCTAAATGTAGCCCAAAGTATTTTTAAAGTGGCCCAAATAGTAGTAAGTCACCTGAATGTATTGATAGTAGCCTAGAGCCCCAAAATATCTCTATCTGCTACTTGTAGCTGAATTTTGCAATCCCAGAACCCAACTGTACTTAATGAGATAAATAAAAAGGTAGTCCATGGGTAAGCAAAGCCAAATTGACCAGATTAGAATAGTTCTTGGTCTTTTGTTCTCTTACAATATATATGCATTTTGATCTAAACAACAAATTAACAGTTTGGACAGAATTTTTCACTTTGGATTTTAAAGTAGCTATATTTTGAACTAACTCAACTCCTTAACATGTAAATCTCTATATCCAACAAATAGTACCATTATGAACTAATGGGATTTTAAACTATGCGAGTTGAAATTAATGAGAACTTCCAATACTATTATTAATTGTTTAAATATCTTTATATAATATAATATGGAAATGCAAACAAATAATCATATAAAATTTCAATCTGTCATTATTCCTTTCAAGTTTTCATCATCTATCCACTGTTTGGATATTTTTGTAGTTTAAAAGGTCCTATTACAAAATCAATATTGAGATGTGTCAGATGTAAAGATCTCAAAAAAATAAATGGACATTTTTTTTAAAACAAAGTCAAATTTCATGATACTGTTTTAGAATTGACAACTTCATTAGAATTTATATATTAAAATATAATAAAAATTTATAAAATATCTATAAAAACAAATAATAAAACAATAAGCATATAAAATTTTACTTTTAATTTGAATACCTGATTAATATCATTGTTTTCTTCAATAGTTTTCTCAAGAAGAGATTCTAGATCTTGCATTTGATTAATTAAACATTCATTGTTTGAATCACCAAGAGTCATATTAATATCTGATGAAAAATTTTCATATCTCAATTCTGGAAATGTGGCTTCAAAATTACTACTTTTTGGTACATTTTCATCTGATACATCATCTGGTTTTCTGTCATTAAATAAAAATAAAGCTTCATCCAGAGGTATATTTTGTAACTCTTCTGCCAATTGCTGAAAATCCAAATCATTTAATGTGCAATTTTCAGAATTTGTAGCATCCAAGCCTTGATTTTCAGAACTTCCCAATATAATATGCTCTCCTAAAGTTTACAAATTTTTAAATTATGATAAATATTTAATATAAAAAAAATTCAATATATATATTACTTTAAGATTTTTTAAAAAGATAATAATGTTGATAACTGACCAGTTTCTCCATCAATTGTATAATCAATGCCTTCCCAAGGATCTAAAGGTGGTGGTATTTGTGGTTCTTCTGTGGGTTCCTTCTGAGGAATTAAAAATTTAATTATTAACTTTTTGTTCAAAATAAATGAATATAGTAAATTAAAATAAAATTTTATAAATTAATATTAATATTGTTCTCTAATAAAAGATTTTTTTTTTTATTAGAGATTTTAACAGCATCTCTTAATTTTTATAGTTATTATAATCTAAAATGTTATCATTCTAATATAATTATAAATTAGAAAATAAAGTAGGTATAATTAATTAATAATAAATAATTATTAATTAAATATTCAATATTTTTCTTCTCTAACATCTGTATTCAAAATTCAGCATTTTTAAATTAGAAACTGATACTAAATAATCTTTAATTCAATAACTTTATCATTGTTTTAGTTTCATATTCAATTAATTACTCTTATAACTGTTTTCATTAAACATTTTATGAAAGTGGTTATAATGTAATATGTAATTTATATAAAATAATATTCTATACTCTTTCATATGCATTTAATTTAAATATTACATTAGAAACTTTCATATACAACATATTTAACTCAAATTTCTCAAATAACTTATATGGAATTAATAAATAGTGTATTTCTGATTTGCCTGACATGAAATATGTCATTTGGTTTTATTTAATTATTTTTTTATTGTACGTATTTACAATAGTAAGTAATGTATGTTGTTTTTGTATTTCTTCAATATGTTTTATTATTATTTCATGTTTTTCTTTGACTTTACATTCATATTCTTATATTCCAGTTTAGCCTCTTTACTATCTATCATCTTTTTGTTACAAATTTGTTAAAAATTTATACTAAATAATGCAAATTTACTTAATTTCTAACTAATTTACACTTAATACACAACTTCCACCACATTAACATTTTCAACCATAAATGTTTGTTTTCGGCTTCATTCAGAGGCCTTCTAATTCTAAAGGTGAAATAATAGAGGTTGCAGCCGACGTTCCACTGATGTTCAAACGTCATTGTCAAACTTCTAGGCTTACAGGAAGGAGGCGCTGAACGTCCAACGTACAGGATTTTGCAATGAAAACGTCGGCCGCAACCTCTCTAATAAGAATTATAGTTTTACCAAGCTACCATATATTCAAGATTATTCAAATAGCCTGTTCTATATGTTCTAAAATTTTTCGAAAGGACTAATTATGTTCTTATAACTGCTTTCATAAATGTTTAATGAAAGCTGTTATAAGAATGCCTAAAACAGAATATATAGAATAATTCTTCCTATCAAATCATAGAACTGCATACAAATAATTCTATGCAGTATCTCTGCATGGAATTATTTGTAATGACAGGGATAAATTTTCTGAGCTAGAATCAGTTGTCTATATGATCCTTATGCAAGGTTTGAGTTCTGATTTAAAAATTTTCTATATAGGGACAACCAGAAAGTTAAAAAATCATTTTGAAGAACACCAAAATGACATCTTAAAAAGTAGGCTTTTCACTGACCTCTCCAGGAAAGTATTGAAACATAATTTTATAACATTATGGTTGGAAGCCTCCCTACTTTAACAATGTACAGATCATAAAGTTATTTTCCTCTGGGAGACTTTTTATATAACAACATTAAGCTCTTGCAATAAGCATATGTTCGAAATCCCAGATTTATGGTTGTTGCTTTTCAAAATTTTACACTGTAATTTATAATTTTAATTTCTTTATGTTTTTATATTTCCTTGGTGTTTCCTCTTCTGTTTTTTTATACATAGCTCATGTCATATCAATTTTACTTGCCTTCAAAAATAATTTTATACATTCTCTTTGAAAATCGTCAGGCAAGTGCAAAATTCAATTAAGAACTATTTAAAACTCATTAAAATGCTTCTGTTAAATTTTATTCTTAAAACATGTTCTATTTCACCTGAAAACAGACATTTATTCAATGTTGAAAGTACTTGTGTCCATAAAAATTGAGGTACATTAACATCAAAAGACAGTACATATATATTGATTAATTAATATTCATTTGGCATAGTTTTTAAGTGTTTATCAATTTTATAGTACATGCAATAATTGAATTATTTAAAAAACTCAACAGTTATAATTAATACAATAAATTTGAAATTTTATGACTACACTTTTATGATTAATTTTTCTTCACTTTTTATTTTCGGTTTTACAAATTATACACAGAAAATTCTGTATATGATTAGTTTAATTAAAGTAAAGAATTTAATTTAAAATGTATTTTATTTCTTACCTCTGGTTTTACAGAATTCTCATTCTGTTTTGTTTTGCTCACTTCTCCTCCTCCTCGGCAATCAAAAGCATCTTTAGTTATTCCAAGATCAATATCTTGCTTCCATAAAATTTCAATTAAATTCATATCCTAATCATAAATAAAATAAATTAGAATTATTTAAACTTTATAAACCAAGAAACATATAAAAATAATATAATGATATGATTAAATTCATCATAAAATGATTTCTTTAACAATATTCCTATTGCAAAATAATTATTCTAACTTTCATATAATGATGGAATTCAGAAATTTTAATGCTTAAAGGTTTCTTAATAAGAATTTATTTTTGTAAATATGTGGCAATTTAGATTTTTTAAATTAAGAAATGTCTTTTGTATAAGAAAAAACCACTATTGATTTTTAAAATTATCATCCATTTTTATAAACAAACATTATTACTTTTAATATTAATATACACATTTTATATGATATCACAAGCTCATAAAATGCAGGAAAAATAATGTAATTTACAAATTAATACAAATTTTTGAAGTTTATATAAAAATAGTTACCTTATGCCAGCTTATAAGTTATCTGGCATACTGTATATGTCAACCCATAAATATATGATAAGCTACTGATAGCCAGAATGAAATGTGAATACAATATCCAGTAGCCTAGGGCAAAAACTTATTTGATGAAAATGGTGTAGTTTTATTATAATGCTAACTGTAATATCTTTCATTATAAGATAAATATATTATGTAGGTCATATAGAAAGGGATGTGAGAAACAAGAAATATGTAGGACATAAGTAACCACTAAAAATCTTAAGTTATATTGGCAAGAACTCTAGGCACTTGTAAGACCTATTGGTAAAACAATCAAGCAAGAATCAACACTTTCAATAAAATTTTAATAGTTTATGCAGCATAATACCACAATAGTACTTATACATATGATATACAGTTCTCTAGTATGCCTTTGCATATGCTCTGCCATTTACATCAGTGATATATAAATAGTGTATCAGCTGTTGGAAATGTATAGTATCATGTTCATTTATATTTTAAAATTTTATTAGTATATTAATCTTTATGTTAAATAAGTTCATCAAATATGAGTTTTAGTTGAAAATGTTGGTGGTGGCTTGTTGTAGTTACGCTAATTAATACATAGCAATTATTAACAGTGTTGTTCCACTTGTTTACCATTCTGTGTGTTTTATATCCGCTACATAAGTTGACCCCTAAGTTTAGGAACACTTTCTTAGGCTTAAAAAGTCACCCTAAATGCTGGTATATACAGTATATACAATGATTAAATTCTTTCAAAATTCAATATCCATAATTACTGTAATAAATTCTGATTTTAATGACTTTAAACTCTTAGGATTAATTTAATAATGATATTCAACAGACTAAGAATTTTTAATTTGTAACTATTTTTAAATTTATGTAGCACGAACATTACATTAGTTTAGTATTATTATATTTTATTAATTTATAATTAGTGAAAAACCTTATGAGTATGTATTTAAACAAACAACCTATAAACAAGTATTTAGTCTATGAATATAATTTTGCAAAAATATCATTTTAATTACAACTCCCTGTTAATTTATTACATTTCCAAAATATTTCATTTGAAACCATCCTTTGATTAATAAAATTTCATTTATAAGTTTCAGAAAAAGTTAATTATCTCTGGAACCAATATATTTTAGTTGGCTCCAAAGGACAAAAATTTTCTGTATGTTATGATTCACTTTAATACATAAAAAGTTAATGATAAATTAGTATAATTTAATAAAACTTATTTTATAGCTTTAATAGGCTGTGTAATTTCATAGAAACTTGCTTCTATTTTGATTCCTTGAACTTTTTAGTTTTATCCTAGAGTTTAAAAATACTAACAAGTAAGTATTTTCAATTTTTCCTAGTGTCTTCTTTAAACAACGTGTTTGTGTATGCATGCATGCACACATGCACATCCAATCCAAAACAATTCTACTGAAACTTAAACTATTTTAAAAGAAACAATCATTTCAAAAGTTTGAAGTGCATAATAATAGTTTTCTAATAATTTAATATGTTCTAACATCTTTTTGTAACAACATACATAACCCAATATTTTAGTAATATCAAATGATCTGCTGGATTTTTGTCAGGCTATATTAAAGCTAATTAATATAACTGAGAGCCATGGAGGGCCATGGACTTAAGTCATCCCCTGTCATCACCATAAATGACCAATATGATTATATCTAAATTACTTAGTTAATTAATAACTCTGAAGATAATCAAATGGAGGTCCAGGTAGTATAACTAACTAACACATAGTGCACTACAGTTTACATAATGAGTTTTTTTCTTCTAGAGTACGCAAAGTTAAAAATTTATATATTTTGTATCTACTGGATAAATAGAATACAACAAAAAACACACCTTTAAAAATCTAGCAAAGTAAATTTTCTCTGCTGGATTTTTAATGGTGTGTTTTTTGTTAAATTAAACATTTATGTTTATAATTATTAAATTTGTCACAAAATGGCTGCTTAACTCTCTACCTCTAGCCAGATTGCTCTTTATTTTGGATTATTAACTAGTGTTAATATAGCCAAATAAAAATCTAGCAGATCACTTGGCATCTTTTTTTAACTTAAATCATTTTAAAGGATATTTTGGTCATTATAAAAAAGCTCAAGAATCTTTCTATTCAGAGGCTGTTTTAAAATTACTCTAACTAGTCACTTTCAAGGAAGTGTGCAGGATATACAATGAAACTTTTTGAGATTTCCTTGAAAATTATATTTATTGAGAAATCATTAACATCCTAGAAATAACATCTGAGACTTTTTTAATCTTAAATGTTTTGCTGGTCAAGGTTCAATGCTTATACAAAATTTTAATATTAAATATTTTACTGCAATTATATATGATTTTTTAAAATTTATTGCTGCATCAATTAACGGTGTTAATAATCAAGCTACTAACTTATAATACTTTTCTGCACTGACCTGAATATAATGTTTTTTTGCATTTGTCATTGCTTTTAATGAAAAATTAATTTTAAATTATCAACTAATGAAATAAAGTTTGAAACTCATTGAACAGTTTCATTTAATATTTGTACATATTATAAAATTACTATGATATATTAATGCATATTTTCATTAAATCATACATATATGGAGTAAAATATGTTTCTAGGAATGAATAAAAATGTTTTGTGTAATCATCAAACCAAACATAGAAAAGAAGAATGATGAAAAGCAATAAATATACTGTAATAGTATAGATAGATGTTTGTATTAAATTAGTGCAAAATAACATAAATCAGCATATAGGTTGTTAACTATACAGAGAAGCTTTGACAGGAACTTTGCTTTTGAACTTTTTACAATGGGATTTGTAATTTATACTTATTCTTATTTTCAAAACAAACTAAGCATATTGAATAATAACAGTTTTCAATAATTTCAATATATGTAATTTAGATAATTGTCATGTTTCTTATTCTTTTTCATCATTTTTTTTTTTAATTCTATATTTTGGTAATTAAGAAATATATTAAACCATTACTTTTTAACAAATTACTAGAGAAAATATTTATATTATCAATATAAACTTTCCAGAACAAATATACAGAGTGCACAGTAAAGTCCCAAAATCATCCAAATAACTTTTGAACAAAATATCTAGAATTATGGAAATGAAGTATTGATACGTTGAAATGACCATGTGCTACCAGATGAGATTGATGATAGCACCCCTAGTGATTGATCATTTGTAAGTTCTCAGAAACTGAACAATACAAAAGAAAAATGAAAAAGTTGAAGAGCATCTTCAAATTAGTAGGAAATGACTTTTCGCAGAAATAAATGATGGAAATAAAAGGCTGGAAACTTATGCACATTGCCATCTTTGCATATGAGCAATACATTCTCTTATGTGCAAAAGATGGCTGCAATGTAACACTGTTCCTGTAGATAAAAATGCAGGTGTGGCAATGAGCAAACAATCATCAAACATCAGATGGTCCTTCAAAGAGTACTGTTTCAAAGATAATGGCAAGCTATACCAATGAAGTGTATCATGAAACAGTACTACTATATAGTAAGTATGAACAAAATGCTAGAAAAACTACATGACAGTATGTCTTATAATTCCCTACTGTCAAATATGCAAGAACTATTTGTTGAGCTGTTCAGCTGCTAAGAGAGACTGGTTGTATTGCAGCTCATGCACAAAGAACCATAGTTATGCACATGCAGACTATCCTTCTGTTTCTCTGAAATGTTATTTCCTACTAATTTGGTGATACTCTGCAATTTTCTCATTTACTTTGTTTCTGTATCTCTGACTTAAGTCTTTACTGTGCACTCTAAATAATTGCCTGTAAGATTTTACTAAATTGCTTCATTTTTAAATTCATAATATATTTAATAATAAATATAACTCTAATATATTTATTATTAAATTATAGCATTCAATAATGCACACTAAATAATACCTGTTCTTTCTAGCTTAAATAAAAAGTTAATATTGCAAACCATCTGCTTTTTAAGGAAATAGTACAAAAAGTTTTTAAAATATTCAAACCTGAAGTGAAATAGTAAGTAAAAATTTAGTTGAAAATGGAATTTTTATGTAATAGGTTTTTCAGATATTTCATTAAACAAAAATAAAGATATCCTCTTAACATTTTATAGAATATAGTCTCACACACATTTAAATTATCAAATAAAACTTAATTTTTATAATGAACAAAATTTTGTGCATTATTTATGTAATATATTCTATAAATAATATACAAAATTTTATATTATTTAAACAATAATAGTGATAAAATGGGTATTGCATAATTAACGGCAATGTTGAAAATTGGCTACCACTACTATAATTGCATCAGCTTAAAATAATAGAATCTTAGATATTTTGCCAAAGATTAAATTCTTCTGAGAACTACTATTATTTTTAAATCTTTCATTTATAGTATGTTTAAAATCTATAAGTATTAAATATTTATAATAATAGTAAGAAAAGTTTTAAATAAATGTATTTTCAATTTTAATGTTTAATTTAAAATATAAATTGATAAGATTATATCTTGTATCATTAAATCCAAAACACTTAAATCAA